ACGAATATGTTGTATTATCTCTTTAACCATTTGTCCAAATTATATGCAGTAAAAGGGAAAAGTCTTTTGTTTTAAACATTTTAGACGATAAATTTACTTATTTTGATAAGAATTCATAATTGTTGATAATATGACCAATAAACATGACCTACCGATTTAAATAATTTTATTATATAAACTACATTTTGTGATATAAATATAAAAGTTAGACATATACTGTCGCTGACTTTTTTGTAGGCATTATTAAGCTCTACAACTTTTCTCTACAACATAATCATATATCTCTAATTGTTAAGGCAGCGTTCGTAAGAAACTTTTTCGTTCGACCGTTTTTTCTCCGACTTACTTTGCAAATACGACTACCACGAAAAAACCTTTTCATTCTTCGGGTTAATATATAGTCTATGACACTCAGAAAGAACGTGGCTTTCTATTGGTACAAGAATTTTGAAAATCGGTTCAGTAGATCCAGAGATTACCCCCTACAACGTCACAAACTCACAAACCCACAAACTCACAAACTCACAAGATCACAAACTTTACCTCTTTATAATATTATAGTATAGATAAATTGGCTTGTTCTGAATGTTTTATTACCGCCCAGATTATATTGCTGAACCTAAGTATTTTTGAAAAAAAATAGAAGATATTTTTGAAATTCCACCTCTAAAATAAAGCTGAACGGATGGCGAAGCTTGTATGAAAAATAATATTTTTTAAGTGCTATATTAAATAAAGAGATTTGGCAAAGCTATCCAGTCCCAACAGGCTGCTAGCAACACACGTGTATTTACATAAATAGTTTAGGTAGGCCGCTAGTAACACATACTAAAATGGATTGTTTTATTAGATAGCGAATATAATCGCCTATGTTCACGATGCCTGGTGCACTTATATTGAACAAATTTACAAATTATACCCTATTCGAATACTATCTATACTTGCAGAAAAGAATGACATGGCGAATGTGCCACTAAATGTACATAGAAGAATGTGCAATGTGCATATATTTATGAAAAAGCTAGACATATTTTGGCACCAGATCTAGCACCTTTTTTATGTTGTATATAATGTAAGACAAAAATAAGTTTTGCTGGTGTTTATAAAAAGACAATTTGAGTGGATGAAGTATAACGTTTCATTAACAGAGCTTTGAAGCTTACGCAAACACTATATATTGATGTTTTGTTTCAAAAGCTTTTTTAACAAAGTGAAAGGCGCTCAAGTCTCCTTAAAAACTTGTAGTCTGTATTCGTTAGCATATCGTATGGAACTTTAAAAAATAAACATTTCGAAGTGGTAAAATCATTTACTTGCATTTGTTCCATATTTCCGTGCAACTTATTTTGTCAAGAAGTAAGTTATATCATGCATAGATCTATAAAAAAAAATTAAAACCTATTTTTGAAGAAATAATCTCTTAATAAATTTATAGGTTTTTTTAAGATTTTTATTAGATTTTTCAAAAAAACATATTGAATTTAAAAATTGGCTAAGTTGGTTAAAAATACAGAGTGTAGGTACTTATTGAAAACAAAGATAGAAGCAAAAGTGATATTTTTCGTGAACAAGCATTAAGCTTTGAACATCAACGAGCACAAGATATTCCAATGCATATGTATGATTTGTTCGACGGCTTCGTTTACGCGGCAAACAAATGTTTGCTTTGATCCATCTTTACACAGACATGTTAAAATATTAACGTGTTTGTAATGAGTAGCTAATGTAATTGAGAAATGATCTCAAGTTTCTTATTAATCAATATGTTTTATCATAATATATTTTATTTTTTATAAAATCAGATAGGTACTGGTGCTACAAGTAGGTAGGTACGTATAACTTACTCGCTACTAACTTACACTTATAAACATATATAAGTAGTTGTTTAACATTCATCCTCCTTTTCACCACCTTAACGGATGATTTCCGGGATATAAACTATCCTATATCCCAGACTACTTTTTTTTCTTTTTATAATATTGGTATAGATTTTAAACATATTATAAAATGAATTTATATAATATCATTGTCTTCTATATTATATGCGTATTATATTTTATTGTTTACTAGCGACTTACCCTCGCTCCGCTCGGACGCATCCCTAGGTACGCTTTAATTTTTAAATATAAATAGTTATTACGAGTGTACCTTAGGAGATAGACTCATGCATAAGCATATATTTCGCAATATAATTGCGGACTGGACTCGAACCAGTTGTTGTGTTTTCCCATAGAAATGAAAGATTTCCCTGTACTAAAAGGTATACCAAATGTTGACTCGAGTAACAAGTTATCACTATACAAAGTTTACTTAAAATCAATTCAGTGCTGCACACAGACAAGCAGTCAAAATTTTTAATTCCTATTGTTTTAGGGTCTGTATTTTGTACACACAATATGCTACAATTATTGTGTAAAAAATACAGTAATTTTAAAAAAATACTTCAGGTATAGATTTCTCTAAGTTTTTTTATAATATGTATAGATTTATATGTTAAGTCGCAATATAGGTACCTACGAATACATAAATGGATATAAAAATAGTTTAACAAAAATGTATCCAAAATCATAGTCAATATAAGCTACATTCATTCAATAATGTTAACGATCGAATTTATAAAACCTCCCTTAAACTATTTGTTATAGTTTCACCAAAACAAAAAAAAAACATAAACCAGTCAGCATTGGTCGGTGCTTTTCGACTTCTGACTTTATACAAAAAACGATGCGTTAAAGAATGTAAAGAGCCATTTAATTATCTTAATATATTGTTATAGTCGTGAAGGGAGGCGGTGATAAATTAAAGAAGGAACAAAGTTTTGTTGAGGTGGCAAATGGGAATGATCTCGATTCTTAGAACATATGAAGGTACCGAAAGTCATACCATACACCATATCTATTTGTTTCTTGATAACAATGTAGGCAATTTGTATTTGATATATTATAGCGCCCCAAGCCCATGTGTATATGTTCTCACGTTACTGCACCCGATGCTACAGTGCGATGATCCTTAATGTTTTTGTTTCATTTTTGCATCAATTCCTTTGCATGGCCTTCATTATGCGTCCGCAAGTGCCTCGTTCGCCACCGGTTCAGGTAGCCTGATTTTACTTTAAGTTGACCCTAGGCATTCAACACGTCAGTTGTTTTTAATTAATTAATGTAGCCTCAAATTAGCTATTGATTTGGTGTAACTTGATAATTTACGAAAGATCGTGTCGACATTTTTTAAGCCTTGTATTTTATTGCATAAGAAATATATTTTTCTCATATAAGTTTTATCATTTTAGAAGATAATCGTGTTATTAGGGTGGGTTGGTATGGCATAGCAGGAGAGAACAAGGTGTTAGAGTCGGGCGTCCCGCTGCGCCCAGGCATTGTGATCGACAGCTTGTTTACTAAAAATATGCATAATGAATTTATAATAGCCCGCCCGGTCTGTCGCGTCGTATCTTCTTACTACTCCTACTTGTGTACATATGTACTATCTACAGCAATTGACAAACTTAAGTTATGCCTTATATTCAAAGTACCTTTTTCATACATATAATAACCCAGTGTTTTTATTTGTATATCTTACAATATTAAATACAATTGACTATATTTTCTTGAATGCTTAAAATACACGAAACAAATTATAATAAAAAATATTTGTAAAACGACCTAATTGTGCCACCACAGCATCGTGTTCCCACGTTAAAAAGCATCAGTGTTTGAGAATACATTTAGCATTCGATTGTTTTAGTGTCGGCCGAGACGTCTGCAGTGTAAACATTGAGAATCTCGAGCTTACTTCGCATGTCGGCGTTCAATAGTTGCTCACAAGCTATGGCTGTAAAGATATTAAGTTTATATTTCATTTCATAACTTAAATATTATTTCCAACACCTATAAGATTGACCGGAATCAACGTTGATATCGTGTCTGTGAAACGTTACGAAATTGATTTTTTTAAATATTTGTACATCCCTAAATTAGAAGTTCTGCACCGTGAAAAATGTGGAATCACTTTAGCGAAGTTGAGCGTTTTGAATTTCTTACAACTCTTTATTAGATGTTTGGAACGTTCGTAGAAGTAATTATGTACGGTGCTCCAAAATATCTTTTATATTGAATACAAGCGGACGCGACGGCCACGCGGGGCGCCCATCGCGCGATTCGTTACGTCAATCTTTAAATTTTTTCTTAAAGAAATCTGCATAGAGTGAGTTGACATCGCGACACAAAGCTGGCATGCAGTGCGCCGTCATTGTCCACATTTCTTTATAAATATTTTGACATTTCCTTTATTTGGACCGCAGAGTTATTTTACAAACAGAATCGTGTTGATTCCTTTGTAGGTTTTAATTTGATTTATTTTTCATGACGAAATGCCGACAACTCGAAACGAAAAAACCAAATGTCAATGACTGGCGGAAAGGACCATTTGTCAATTAGTTGTTACGTCTATTAGAGTATTCTTTAAGGCTTACACAAAATTGTGCATGTTTAGTAACCACCAAAATTTTAGAACAACGACTAGTGACTCACTGTCGCTCCGCTCGGATTACTACTACGGTTAAAACGTACTTAGGGACGTATAGATTTCTCAGTGTTGAGATATTTTTCCGCAGTAAAAAGTATCCTATATGTTATCAGCATGATGACCAGCTATCATGATACAAAATTTCATCAAATTCTGCACAGTGGTTTTCTCGTGATGCATTCCCAGGCAGAGATAGACAGACAGGCAAAAATAAAAAATAAACTATGGATTCACCTTCTGTATCGATAATAATGACTATTTCAATAAGATTTTCCAAAAAATATTTAATGTACAGTTTCGACTCAGAATTTTATTATATGTATAGATTATTGTGTAGTGTCGTAGCATAACTTTTAAATTCTACTCATACCTTTATTCCGCTAGTGTAAGAAATGCTTTTTCATTTGATCTTAAAAATAACTTGTCTTATAAAATTTATAAATAAATCATTAAAATTTAACAAATTAATTTTTCAGCGATGCAAAGAAAAACTAAATACGTTGGCAATAAGCGTAATGAACCAGTGGCCAGGAGTTCGTCTCCGGGTGATCGAGGGCTGGGATGAGGAAAACTCCCACCTCGATAACTCCTTGCACTACGAGGGTCGCGCCGTTGATCTCACCACCAGTGATCGGGATCACAGCAAGAACGGAATGCTCGCGCGCCTCGCCGTAGAGGCTGGCTTCGACTGGGTCTTCTACGAGAGCCGCTCCTACATCCATTGTTCTGTGAAGACAGGTGTGTAATATTTAAAATTTTTGTAGCATTAAGAAGCAAAATGTAAAAACAAACTTAAATGTAATGTTAAATGAAAACCTTCTATAGATAGTTTATCTATAATAGCCATGTAGAGTTGAAAAATGAGAAAGAACCGTTTAGTTATTTCAAATATTGATGGGTACATAACTGTATAATGTGGATGCTACGGGACAGGCCTCGCAGGCCAAATATATAGTTGAGCTTTATAAGAAGAATGCACCTCAGACAGCTTCCCGCGCCCGCTCACCGGCGGTGTCGATCAAACGGACGAACAAGCCTCTTGTTAACGCACGTCTTCCTCGCACCCCACTTGTATCATATGTTCTTCCCTCTCTAACACAGCCGCAACCCAGCCAATCCCCCACTTCTATAATTACGCCGGTGATTCAATGCCTACTTATAGCTATGTGTTTATATGCAACATAACGATGAGAGAAACGACTATTTATGTGTATGTATGGACATGTTTTAGATGTGAAGGCAATGTGTTACTTGTGCACATTCTTTTGATAATTATTTTTTAGTTCACTGCAATGCTAATCGATTAAATAAAGGTAAAAATAAAGGTTGCCTTACAAACAAATTTAAATAAACACTTTTGCAATATTACTGTAAAATTATCCTATTTTCTTTATTTATGGGGTAATTAAAAAATTTAAGTGGCAAAGTAAGAAATAATACTTATTACTGATAATATACATATACTATGTACTAAATAAGATAAGCTTCTTTTCATCACAAATTATACATAATAGGAAGAAAATAATTAAAATTAATCTAGTAGGTACTTATTTGTGTGCTTTCTAGCTAAATTTAAAGTTCTGTAAGGTTGAATCGAATACATATAACCACCTACAACATCAACTTAATGCAATTTTTATATATACGTATATGTTATTTCTAGCTTTTACTGATATGTAGTTCCAATCAAATAACAAAAAGACAAAAATAGCATACATACCTATTACCTATGTCATCTTCTCTCAAATCCCGCCAATTTAAAAGTGTTGTTAAATCAGTTAAGCTGTTCGGCTTCCAATCTCTGTCACGAGAAAACCGTTTCCTTTTCTGGTATAAAGGCTATATCCCTCACACCCGAATTCTTTATCTAGAAGTAAAAGTCCCAATAAAGTCAGCATGGCAGTTTTGGAGACTTGTAGACACAAATAGACTGCCAGACAAACATTTTAATGGTTCTTTGGTTTTTATTTTCTTTGGGGTAGCTATTTAAAAAAAAAACAAACAGTCACTTCAGTTTCATTTAAAAATAAAGATTATGTTCCCAATCGAAAGTTTTTGGTATTAATTTTGACTTTATAAATAATTAATGTGGTGTATACTTATGTCGGACAACTGGTCGAGGTCAAGGCCACTTAACTCACGATTTCTTTGACCATTGTTTTACCTATTCACGCGTTTATTATGCTAGAGACTTCTAAAGATAACTGAGAAAGTTCAAAAAAATATTAGGATGTGTTTTTGTAAATAATTATTTTCATTAAATTGATATGATATAAATAATTTATTAATAAAAAAATATGTGTTTGTTTAAACATCATAATATTTTTAAAGTTTAATTTTATATACTTCAATTAATCTTTTATAGCCCGCCTTTATCTCGAATACCTGAATCGCAAACTACATTAAAATTTTTGACTCCTGCTTTGTGGTATATTTAAAAGTAATGAACGATTAAAAGCTCGTATGTCGTGATTGTAAACGGTAGTTACGTGATCAATTAAAACTTTTTAAATAACTGTTACAAAAAGTAGCTTAACCAGTATATTAGAGTTAAACAAGCAAATTATAACAACGAACTTTGTTTTTTTTTAAATTAAAAAGAGTTATGTAGAGACAACTTAAAACAGTTTTGTGTAAAAAAAAAATAGTATTTCAAAATATGAATGTTATTTTATGATAACAAGCAAACCAGTCTCGTGACATGATCTCATATATTAAATTAAAGCATCGCCCTGGATTATCGCAGCGCCAATAATATGACCAGTTTTTATAATGGGTCCAATTAATTGATTTTCATTGGTTGATCTTTATTGTTTCTTTTGCAATAACTTAGCTTTTTATATTAAAATATTCAGGTGTAATGGATTAATAAAGATTTAACGAGATGTATTACTACTGCTAATAAATTTTATGTTTTAAAACCAATATCTATATATACCTATAAAACAAAGTAGTTACACCATTTATAACTTCAGAAAGGCTGAACTTATTTCTATGATCTATGAATTTTGTTTCCGCCCCGAGTAGAAGAAAAACATTTAAAACATCAGAAAAAATCACAAAAAAATTGTTAAAAAATTTACATGGCTAACGCTGACTAATCGCTATTTATATCTATTTAAAACGTACCTAGAAACGAACCCGAGTGAAGTGAGGGTGAGCCGCTAGTTACAGTAGAAATAAAACATTATTGCTATATTATTTATTTGACTTAGTAATGTTAACATATCTGCTGCTTCAAAAGACATCAACGCGCTTAAATGTTTCGAGGCACAAATGTACCTTTGCAAAATCAAATAGAATATTACAATTTTCACTTTTACTTTTCATTTAACTATAATAATTATTCTTATAGTATTCTAAAAAAATTACAATGGATGTGATAAAAAAGCAAAGTCTAATAAAAACAGTCAACAGACTTAAATTTCAAAGTTATGATAGTTTGTCGTTAGAAAATGTTAAAAAACTATAAATAAAAATTAGTTTTATTTGGTAATTAATGTAGGAGGCGCACATAAATGGGGTGTGACCGAAGGCAGGTCACGAGACGCTGAAGGACGAACGACTCGATCTAGACAGTCCCGTCCCGACAAAATCGTGGCCCGAGACTAAATTAATTGAAAAAATCCGTGAATAAAATTGCAAATGCCAGCGCTAATTGACCAGATTACATGATGAAAAAATCAAGAAGTTTAGGTTTCTTTTAATATGAAGGTTAGAGTAAATGTCATTAAGTTAATATATACCTACAGTAGGTACTAGGTACCTACCTACCTATATTAAATAATCGTTTTACGGCTATAATAGTATAGGTATAATTATTGATATATAACTGCTTCAGTATTTTTACAGAATGGAATGAAATTATTTACCATAATGCTCTTATAGTTTGACAAAATTATAATTCTTTTTCAAATATCATAACAATAATCATATTTAATCGATTTTTTAACTAATTCAATAAACTAGATTGCATGGACCAACGCTGTAATTTAATGTATCTTGTTACTAAGTCGAAACTTTTACCTTGAATGCTATATTTCGACGGAGTGTATCTCATATTGGTATGTGTGGGAACGTAAAGGGCCGTGGCCGCAGCTATCCGGGATGTGGCAAGTCGCAACAGTATGCATCGCTCGAGCGCACATCGTCGGCTAGCATTATTCTTCTTCTCTTCTTATTTAACAGCTTACCTAAATTATTTAACCTAATTTCAAATTGTCTAGGTTCTAAGAACATCTTAATGCTATAAGTATAACAACACTTGAACATTCCGTCCGATAAAAATAAAATAAAAAGAAATGATGAAAATATAGTAATAATATTATATATAAATAAAGTGTTTTAATCCTTTACGAAGTATTTCATATTATTTTAATAATTAAGTTATTAGAAAAACTTATAGAAAATATGTTTTGTTTTATAAAATTTCAATGGTACATATATGAAATATCATCTGCCACAGGTACTCAAGGTTTCAACCATGAATTACACTTTCTACATTCTGCTTTATAAATAAATACACATTATTTATAAAGCAGAAATAATAAATGACAAATAATATTAAATATATTTATAATAGATAAATGGTAATAATATAATAAGTAGGTACCTAGAAGTGAAGTTTAATTGATTAAATATTTAGTTAGTTGCTTTGCAAATTCTTTTGTTTAATATTATTCAGAACTTTTTATGCTTTTTAATATCTGATCAAGCTTAAACAGGGAATAAAAAACGAGAGTGCAGGCATTCGCTATAAAGAAGCCATAGGAATAAAGTTCAATGCTCTATAACATTGAGCAAGATTACTGATTACTAAATGGTGTCAATTACCATATTTAAAGCTGAAGAATTTCTATTAAATATAAAATGTTCACTCAATTTACTTATATCATCTTTAGATGAATGAGCTAATCTATTATTCAATGTCATAACTCTCGGACAGCAATAACTCAGCGGGTTACGATATTCTGAAGCATAAATATGTATATATTGCATTAGAAAGTCACCGAACCTTATTTGTAGTTTTAATTATTCAATTACGCAGATATAGACTTATAGTAAAACTAGCATTTCCCGCGGCTCCGCCCGCGTTCAGATGACCGAAAACCAAATTCTTAGGTTTTACATATTAGTATACTCTTACATTGCAGTTTTTGTATTTTTTCTCAGAAATGAGACATTTTCCCGCGGTAAAAAGTATCCTATATGTTGACCTGGATAACCAGCTATCACCATACCAAATTTCATCAAATCCCTCCAGTAGTTTTCTGTGATGCGGTAACAGACAGACAGACAGACAAAAATTCTAAAAACTATAGATTCGGCCTCTGTATCGATAATAATGTTTATTTCAATAAGATTTTCCAAAAAATATTTAATGTACAGATTCGCCTCTGTTAGAATTTTATTAGGTATTATGTATAGATATTGATTTAAAAAATGTACTGAATATTGTTTATCTTCCCACTTCTAGATTATGTCAATACAACAATCATGGTCATGATATTTAAGTTCTGAATAATGGTATTAAAAAAATAAAGACCCGAGAAGTTAAATATATTAGAAAATAGGTAGGTACAGTGCTACCGCCTTGACATTAAATATATATGCTGATTTATGCTACGCAAATTATGCGTAAGATATGCGCAATAACTTTTCTTTGTTGCGAGAAGCGGTTCTGGCCGGACGAATTTAAAGTGTTTGATAAATTTAGGTATTTTTGCAGACTAAATATTTATTGCTGTGGAAGCTCTATAAAAATACCACGGCCGCATATGAATCATAACCGAACCGGCGCGAGCGCAGTTTAACATTTGCATGACTACGCTGATGTCGGCATTTAATTGCTATACCTTACGATATAAATCAAATAGATTCGTCGATTAAAACCCACCTCGAGGCATTTTTAGTAGAGTTTATATAGAAAATATTTTACACATTTATCGAACAACCCCACTAATGCACACGATGTTAAGTAAAACAAGTAGCCTTGCGATAAATGAACATAATACGCGTACCAAGCAGCTCGTAAATAAAAGTAAGGTGGCCCGATGAAGGCGATCAAAGATGGCATATGAGCTGTTATCCCGAGTAAGCATGTGGTACGAGTACATACGGTATAAAAACATTTCATGTTATATTTCCGTCAGAAAATCGAAATATAGTATATTTTTACGCGTACGTGTAATTAAAGAGATCATTTTGCCAGTTTATTAGAAAAATACGTAATTCATCATTTTTAAATATTTAAATTCATTCGAAACGTCGGGAACCAAAAATCAAAATAAATCCGAAGAGATGATTTAAAAAATAAAATAAAGTCATGATTTTTAGGTACTACATAGTATGATCCATTGGAGATTAAGTGAAGAGTGTCACGTGCGTGTATTTATCTGGCAGCGGCAGCATGGCCAGGCTCAGGCGCCGCCTAGCTCTCCCGGTGGTCTCCGCGGGGCGGGGTCGGCACGGCCACTCGCGCCGCCGCCTCCGCCTCTCCCGCACCCTCACCCGCGCCCGCGCCGCTATCGACGCATCTTCAACCTAACCTCACTTACGTCACGCCACTGTGAAATCGTGTGACAGGTTTAAGATATTGAATTAGTTTAGTGGCCATCGAGGTCAGGATTCTCGTAGTTTCGAATTAAACACTATTTTTAATGATCTACATTCTTGATTATGATAAAAGGATGTTTTAGTTGTAGGTGCCTATTTAAATTTACTATGTTACGTTCCAGCAAGGCAAGACATATTGCACTAAAAAGTTAATATCACTAAGTATAGTGTATGTATAACTTCAAAAAAATACTTTTGTTTATTATTTTAGTGAGATTTTTAAAAATCTTATAAGTAGGTATCTAATAAAAACTTACATGTAATGTGTAAGAAAGTACCTGAATATAATTGATGTATTACGGAAATGGCTACAATAATCTTGTATGAATACTCAAAAAAATAGATTGCCTTGAGATACGTGTGCAAAAAAGCAAAGGTGGCCGACACCTATTCAATGATTCGTGTGATGTGTTCAGCCAACAACAAACAAAATATGTACAATAAGCGCCTGACTTTGAACGAAATCTAATTTGTGTGGTTATTGTGTAATATGATCAGGGCGTCCCATCGTTTTGTGAACGGGATCGGTCGAATTTATCGGTCGGTTACACAACAAATCAAAGTTTAACGAGCTCTCGTAAGAGTTGCCATCAGCTTTGCAATAATCCGCCGCCGCTATGTTCTTTAAAGCGTGTAATTGTATCGTCCTCTTTAATTGTCAAAATAATAAGTTTCGGGAGAAAAGTAAAATGGCTTAATGCTTATACTTACACTTTTTTTATCTTTACACTTTCCATTGAGGATGTAGCGCGGGAACACCACGTTGGCTTACCATACCATTTTGACTTATCGTTTTCGTGCCGAGTCTTAGCACGTAAAGGTAGAGTTTTTGTACGCGTAAGATTAACTTCAGGTACAGTTTAAGCTGGATCAGGATTAAAATAAACACTATTATATAATAAACAAATAAATCTACGAATAAGTTGGTCCATGGTCATTTCGACATATATTTTTTACAAACAATGGTCTAAAAATTTACCAAAAAGGATAATTTTTTTATCTGCTAAAATTTGTTTAGGTTCATCTTAACGCGCTTCCTCGAATTTTTATTTATACGCACTATAAGTAAATAACGCACGTTTCTTATATTGGATTTTCGAATTGTCTAACAAAGGAATTACCTGTGTGGAACATTGTTTTGTGCAGATAACCTTCGGACTGAGAACAAGAAAGCAACTGCGATTCCCTTTTGTTTTGTATCTTATCGGATTTTAATTACCAGTAGAGAAATCTCGTTATTTCTTAAAGGACTAAACCATGCTAGCAAATTAGCTTTACTTTTCGTTTTTTGTAATGGTTGTGTTTTTGTGTATTTTTTCTTAAGTATAATTTATAAATACGTTATTGGTTAGGTACATACTAAAAATATATATATTATACCTATTCGATTCAATGTGATGTTTGTTCACCAAAACTTTGAACTAAGTATAACTTAGTGTCTGTACTTTAGGAAATACTTACAATATTCTAAATATATCTGTTAATATTACAGAATCGTCCGTGGGAACAGGTGCTGGGTGCTTTCCTTCTGGATCAGTGGTTCACACACTGGAGGGTCCTCGTGATATTGCTACACTTAGGAAAGGCGATAGAGTGCTAGCCGCTGATGATACAGGAAAAATGATATATTCTGAGGTATGCTTATTTTACATGAAATTAATATTTATTTCACCAATTATTGTATCGACGATTAGTAAATCATTTATTATATTATTTTGTATTGATTTTTTAAGTCATAGATACATGTATAATTGTTTCGTAATACTCTTTGTTATAACAATTGCACATGAATTTATATTTGCTTTCATATTCTTCAATCAAACTAATATACTTAAAAGTATTGCACTGAAGTCTACTTATATGTTTTATTTTAAATAAGAATTCTATTCCAAGCTCTAATCTTTCATATTTGTTTTCACTTCAGGTGTTGACGTTCATTGACCGAGATCTAAATGCAACAAGGCAGTTTGTCGAAGTGACAGCAGAGAACGGTGTCGTTATAACTGCCACGCCTTCGCACTTGTTGCTGCTTGCAGACGCTGATGGCTGGCGGGATACTTTTGCTGCTAATGTAAAAATAGGTGATGTTCTCCTTACACGAGGGCCAAGTAGTGTAATGCGACCCTCAAAAGTTGTAAAAACTAGATTAGTTTCTAAACGAGGAGTGTTTGCCCCATTAACGAAATCTGGAACTATAATAGTCGATGATGCTTTAGCTTCCTGCTACGCTCTTGTAAGTAGCCACTTGTTGGCTCACACCGCTATGGCTCCATTAAGATGGATGTCCGGATGGAGCAGCGAGAAAATTGTCCCTCGTGGCGTCCATTGGTACGCTAATGCCCTTTACAATATCGGAAATTTTGTCCTGCCCTCATCATACAAATATCGCTGAGAAGGAAGAAGAAATTTTCGTGTGCTATATGGACAAATACTTTAGTGATTTATGATAAAATTGCGCGCAGGACGTGCCACTGTTGGACATTAATTGTATATAATTTACCTTGTAAATAATGTCGTGAACATGGCGGTCATAAAATTGTAAATAGATCTGGATATTGAAGTTTTTATGTTATATTCTGCTATAATAATAATTATTATCTTGTCGAAATCTTGTCTATTTATTAAGTAGCGTTAGGAGTGACATTGCAAAATTTACATATTATTAGTTAACACACAAATATTTGTAAATTATGTCGGTATTGTTATTCTGCACAATGCAGAAATACTTATCTGTATGCGCTTATGTATTTTAAGAACTTGTACAGATATTATAAGCACTTTATTAGTGAATCTAAATTATCGCTCTTCGGCTATTATTTACGTATTATTTAGGTCTTTTATGACACAAAACAGTATTTAGTTAATAAACCACATTTGTAACTTGACATTCCAAGACTCTAATCTTTTTACATACTAACATTTTACAAGAGTTTAAAATAATGAAATTGTGATCTTGGTACCTAAAACAGTGCCTTAAGATTTTATTTATTGTTATATAGGCTAGTTTTGTATTTAAAAATTGACGAATACAATCAAATCTTATATTCTTTTAACTTATTCCGCTACATTTGTCTATCTTTAAGTTAATTTGCCGAATGCTTTATTTATTTTTCTCTTTACTACTAATACTATACTTATTCGGCTTTCTATTTATTTAGTGATATTTGTTTATGTTTAGGACATAATTAGGTATTGTTTGCTTCGGTTTACTTGAAAAAAAAACCTTGTAGAATCAGTTTTATTAAATAGACAATAAATATATTTATAAATATCAAATACACAAATACCTACAGAATTTAAGTTTATCGCAGTATGATTTTTATAAAATGTTTATTGCCACTTTACCAGTTTTATTGCACTGGAAGCATTAAAAGGTTTATAACATCTCGGAGGAACGGACATACAGTATTTTTCATTATAGTGATAATGAATTTTCCGGGTTACTTTTGTGCTCGCATTATATTGTATGACCATATAACCTTTTTATGAAGCACTAAATTGCGCCTTAAAATGAAATGCCTTTAGTATATTCTAACACTTACTGAGTAAAATGTTTAAATCTGTTTTGATCGTACAAAGGATCTAGAACTGAACTTTGGGTTCCTATAGTTTGAATTTAGTACAATATTTACTAACTCGCATCAGTATTTAGAAATAGATAATGTAAGATGAAAATCGATGTTATATATTATTATTATAGGAATACCGATATTAAATTAACTTGTGAATTATAAGCATGCAGGTTAAGCAAAAAATCTGTCCATTATTTACTAAGAAAAACTTATGTGACATTTTGCTTACTTAATATATTTAATATTACTAATTAAGGGATTAAAAATATAAAAGCTTTAACTAATGTTCCGATAACCGCAGTATGCTATAAGAATGCCATATTGCATATACTTACTATATATTTCGTGCTATCTTTATTTTATATTGTAACTATTGCGTAATTTACACGTGCACAATGTAAACCTGTGCTTACATGACCTGTAATGTGAAATTAATGTATGAAATCATATAATTTTATATTATGTTTTCATATAATAAAATATGTGTGTCACCGACGTGCGTGTGTACTTTGTTTATTAAGGTTTTTCTTCATCTTACTAAGTTAGACAACTTTAATATTTTTGGCACACAATTTTGTAATTTAGAACAATTTAGCCAAGTTCCATGTAATTAGTGCGCTTGCATATTATTTATTGATGTTATGTATTGATATAAAAATCTTAACTATTCAAACTGAGCTGTTTTATTTTTGTCTTTGGCAAATATTTATAAATGTACAAAAATAAAACCTTTTCATAATGTATGTTATATATTTATAGAATATATATGATAGAATATATATTCTATAAATATATAACATACATTATGAAAATAACAATATAATAATTTAATACAATATGATAATTACACTACGGGACTTAGACGCGTGAATTTAAAAAGTTATAATAAATATACTTTAAAGTTTAAATGTTTATATTCAAAAAATAATATTTTAGTAAATAATTAGGTAATTTAGCATTAATGTCGTAATAGAACCATAAATAATCCTTTTGAAGTTGATACTAAGCAAACAACGATTTCATCCATTGCTAAAAAGCAAACTCGTCCCTACGTAAAATAAGGGTTATGTTATTTTGTTAATTCTTGGAATTTAAACTATCTTTTTCTTGTTAATTATGAGAAATAAATAGAAAAAATAAGGAAATAAATACGAATTCGATACGATTTTGATATATAATCTTTTCACTTTTCGAGACTTTTCGAGTCCTTTTCTAAATCTAATGAGTATAAATAAAGCATAAAAATATATTTATTAAATACGATACCTAAAAAGTAAAAAATAATTTGACAGCTTATTAAGAAATGAGATATTTTTATACTCAATGCCAAAAGATATATAATCAGTAATCAGTAATATAATAAAAGCGAAAGTGCGACGCCTTTTAATATACTTATTATTAATATACCTATTATTATTACTACCTATTATTATTACCTTTTTTAATATACCTATTTATTAAAATAATTTAACTTCATTTATTTCCAATACCAAATACAGTGGCACTGGTAATCATGCCAGGGGTATATATACATTTTTAGTTATTTTATATCACGATATAATAAAAATAAAGTCCTCTAGAATATCTTTCACTACAGGAGAATCTATCATTTTCACTGGAAAACAATAACTGGTTCGGCCAACGTATCCTTCTTAAAAAAATCTATGATTTATTACCAAACTCTTAGTAACAGTGTTAACAACAAACATATTTAACAACTAGTGGTTCACCCTCGCTTCGCTCGGGTTCGCCTCTAGACAAAATCAAATCTATCCCACTAATTTTCCGGGATAAAAAGTACCCTATTTGTTATTCTGATGTATGAACTATATTATTGTAAAGTTTTATTAAAATCCTATCTGTAGTTTTTATGTACTAAGCAAGTTACTATACTTTTTTAACTATCCCACGGAAACTCTGTCATTTTCCGGGATGAAAAGTATCTAAAATGTTGACCAGGGATATAAGGTACCATCGCGCAAAATATCATTTACATCAGTCTAACAGTTTCGGAGATTAGCCGGTACAAACAGATAAACAGACAGAGAAACAAAAAAATTGAAACAAAAAATGGATTTGTTCTATTTCTCTTTTTACCCCTGACTCGGTTTTTAGATTTTTTTCTATGCACAGACATTCAAACTCTACAGTTTTTTTATATGTATAGATTTAGTGCGGAAAAATATTTCATTTTCATGGGAAAATGCGTAATTTAGTTCGAGCGCAAGTCGCTACGAGTATACAGGGCCGGATTAACCCTATCACGGCCCCTAGGCAATGCAATTTTCGGGGCCCCTTTCGTTTATCCTATTCTTACTTTTTAAAATACATTTTTAACCGACTTCCAAAAAGGAGGAAGTTCTCAATTTGTCGGAATATTTTTTTTTATGTACGTACTCGAAGACGCCTGAACTGATTTGGATTTTTTTTTGTTTCAAAGGGTATACTTCCCAGGTGGTCCCATATAAATTTTATCGAAATCGGTAGAGCGGTTTTTAAAAATCAACATTTTTTAAATAAATTGCTTATTCGACTACCTATGTTATTTAAAAACTTTCTCCTTACAAATTACCTGCTTATTACGTCTACACTAAAAATGTTAAAATAAAAATTTTAAAAATAAAATAAAAACCGACTTCCAGGCACTAAAATGTAAAAAATAAATAAAGGGTTTTCAATTAGAATAGATATCTAATCAGATATTTTCGAAGTCGGTACCAGCCTACAACATTTTAAGATATGAATATCTAATAGGTAAATGTGTATTTTACGTATCGAAATATATTAGATTTACTTTGCATCGGCTGGCACCGACTTCGAAAATATCTGTTTTTATTTATATTACAAAAGTCGAGTCGATCAGATCGACTCCTTTGGTATCCTGTTACTTCAATCTCTTTTGTGATACTAGCGGCTCACCGTCGCTTCTCTGGGGTTCGCCTCTAGAAAAACAAAACAAATCTATCCTTCGGGAACCGTATATTTTTCGGGGATAAAAAGTAGCCTATGTGTTATTTCAGACTATAATCTATTTCTGTGCCTTTCATCCAGATCCGTTCAGCCGTTCTGACGTGAACTAGTAACAAATATTCATAAATCCATACTCACAAACTTTCCCATTTATAATATCAGTATACATTGCAACAACATGGTTACCTTAACTGGATGCTACAGCATCACCTCGCATGCCTGACTCATTGCTTTTTGCTTTCATTGAAGTGATCTTAATAGATTATAGTTATAGATAAGTGATGATCCAGGTCTCATGATGGAGCAGGAAAGAAAAATGAGACCCTATGCGGTTATTTTAATTTTAATTTTGTTAAATGCAATAAGGAAGTGGTAGCCCAGTGGTAACGCGCTCGCTTGGAAAACTGGGTGAAGAGGGTTCAAAACCCAGGTCTCACACCTCTGATATTTTCATGTGCGAATCATTTCACATGATTACCACTTGTCTTAACGGTGAAGGCAAACATCTTGAGGAAACCTGCATGTTTGCGAGAACCTAGCAAGTTTTCGAAAGACATGTGAAGTCCGCCAACCCACACTTGGCCAGCGTGGTGGACTATGTCCTGATCCCCCTCGTATTGATGGGAGGCCTGTGCCCAGGAGTGGGCTGAATACAAATGCAATAAAATACAATAAACGAAAGAAAATAGTTTTATAAAGTACAATAAGTTTAAATAGCAACTATAATACTCTTTGAGATACAAAATCGTTTATAACATCTTAGAAGTTGACCTTTTCCAATATATCATCTAACGAATCGGAGATTCCCCGCCCAACGTGAATAAAGTCTAGTACTCATCAGCCGAAC